TCTTCCCTGTTTTTCCAGCACTTCTAAAATACCACATTTCAATGCAGACCTCATAGGCTCTTTATTAAGAAAAGCAAAACCAACAAACTTCCTTGCAATTTTGAAATTTCTTTTCTATCTTTCCCAGACACCCAATGAGCTTTTTCCTTCTGCTACTCTCAACTCCAGACTAGAAGACCCCACAGCAAGAAAAAAAATGCTACAAATAGTGCTGCTAATGCATACAGTAGTTTTCTCCATTGACATCTCCTTATCACTGGGTACTCTAAAGACCCTCCAAAATCTCAAATAGAATCTACCCCATCTCTCGTAAAACATAGAAGTACGTATTATTCTTACCCACCTTCCTTTCCCTAGAAATCAGAAGAACAGTGTTCAGAAACAACTGAGTAAAAGCTGGATATCAGTTTCAGACATCAGACTTTTTGATAGTTACATGGATAATCTATAGAACTCTCAGTCTCCAAAGAAATAATTGATTATTGTGTGGATATTTGTTGTGTTTTGACAGGAGGAAGAGGAAACAGAACTGGCAGTGATCTGTCTGCAGAGGTTGCTCCGAGGCAGGGCTATTCAGAACATGGTATTCTGAGTCTCTTTGTTTACGTCTCTCTTTAGAATGATGGTGGAAATGATTGAAAGTGTGCTTGCAATCTTTCTTCCACAGAACTGATCAAGGGTAATGAGGCTTCTGCAGCATATCCTCCTGTATGTTATCTAGAGTCCTTCAAGGCTGAAGGCTTTGCTTTCCAGCCCAAATTTCTTACAGGACCTTCTAGGTTCCTACACGTCTATGAGTGTCTCCCTGTTCCAGCCAGCCCCTACACTCAGCTGTTTAATTAGATATTTTATAGCAGAATTATTCAAATGGCAAATTCTAGACTAGATCTGGACCATGAGTACATTTTGCATTGATTATGCCAAGATCCCAGGCACAAGAAAACTCCCACATGCCAGCAGGGCAGCATGTATTTCATACCATCTTTCCAGTTTCCTGTGATGGTGAGCTGAACCTTAGATGAGGAGCAACTGAAGCATCATACTGGGGTTTTCAGCAAGTGCAGGACCCTTCCTTCTGCTTTCAGTGGAGCAGAAATGGGTCTAGGTAAAAATTAATTGAGTACCTGTGCCTCGTGGGCTTTATATCAAGCAAGTCTATCATTGTTTATCAGAACAGTCCAGAAGGTTTGTTATCATGCCTGCTGAGAATATAGTTGATATTCTCTCTTGCATTAACTATTTAATGTTTGTGAAATGTAGGCCCCTGATCTGAGCTTTAGCAAACAATGCAATACTGTGAAAGTGGCTTGAGGTGGAATGTAGACTTCCCAAGTCTTCTCCAGTTCTGTGGTGACCTATGAGAAGGATGTTTGGTCCCATTGCAGAACTGTTGACTTTCATGTTTTGAAATGTACCATCATTTTAGGAATCCCCTTCCAGCTACTACTGGATCAGAAATACATGACTTGGAGAATGACGTGAGCAGGATTGAGTGATCCTTTGTTGCTGTTGGAAATCCTGTTGGAAGAGAGGGGGAATGAAAATAAGACCATGTCAGGGAAGGGCTGGGCCACATAACCCCACAACAGGGACAGCAGCAGTCTCAACAAGCTCCCCACTATTTTATTGCTTTGAGCTGTTGCTGGACTCCCTCAAAATGAAGTTCAGAGAACATCAGATGTTGAAACAGGAGACATCTAACTCTGGACTAAGGAAAAAGGGCAATGCTTACACTGGGAAGCTTTGACATTGAGGCTGATATGACAGGATCCATCCTTGACGTTGGTGTTGCTGTTCCACATTCCAGTTGTTTGAATTCTGGTTGAAGCTGAACAGAATTTTAAAAAAATATATAGTAAAGTAGCAAGGGATCATCTATACACCACAGCAGAAGGTCTCAGCTGTCATCTTCTATGCAAGAGGGTTTAGGCAAGATTTACCTGACAGCTGTAGTGTTTGCCTAAATGTGGCCACAAATTCCTTACAGAGAACTAGGGTCTTGGAAACAGCTGACCTTGGAACTTGGAGAAAAAGGGTGTGCTTTGCTGGCAAAACATGTTGATATGTATTCTCCATTTAATATGCTTGATTGTTTTGCTTTAAAGATGTTTGAAGAGAAGGAGAAGCGGCTGGAACTGATCCGAGAGCTGCGCACCACTCACGCGCTCCATGAGGATGGACAGCTGCTTTTGAAGGCAGAGGAGCAAATGACACTGGCTCTACAGCAACAGCATGACTTGCAAATGCACAAGGTTTGCCTCTATAGATGAGAAGGCTGATTTACAACACCATCCTGACTGGGCACTCTGTGCTTGCAGTACCATCAAGACTCCCGCAATTAAATTTCCTTTTGTTTTTTATTACCCACAGCACAGAAAGCACCCCAAGTAACAAAGATGCTCTTCTAGCACAGGCCAAGCATTGAGTGCCTGAGGGGCTAAAATTGCTCTCTCACTGCTGTGAGGGCTCTGGGGAATCTCAGAAACAGACTGAGGCACCCTGACCACAGTTGCTACGCAGGGTGCACTTGCTTTGTTTGCAGACAGAGAACTTATTTATATTTACAGGACTTTGAACAAACTGCACTGTCAGATGAACCTCGGTTTTCCCACATTTCAATCCATTTGACTGGTGCTGTGACCTGGCATCACAATACATGCTTGTCACTCACATCTGTCAGATGTTTTACTGAATGTGTGTTACTGCTCTGTCATTTCCGTGTTCCTTTTCCAGCTTGACATCCTCTCAGCCTTCTCCTTAGGCATAAAACATCACAAAACAAGCCAAAGCAGACTTACATTTTAAATCTTGCTGGGCTTGAGACATACAGGACCTTAGCAATGGTGCCACATTCTTGTACTAGCCACTGTTACGCATTTTACTGTTTATCATTTCCAGATGCTCCCTCATACATAGGAAGCCCAGGTGTAGAATGCAGGAATACAGAATTTTTCTGCTGAGGAATTAAGAGAATAATAAAGCCTTAGGCATTAGGAACTTGAATTGCTCCTTCTCCTCTGGAAGCCCATGTGGGAGCAAAGGAGAGAACAGTTCAAACACTATAATAACATTTATAGAGAAAAAGAGAGAGCAAGTGATAAATATGCTGACCTCTGATCTGAGAATTTCATTTTGGGAGAGCCACTATCCCCCTCTGCTGGTATCTACCTCCTCTACTCTTGCATTTTTTTATGATGTCTCTGAAGGCACGCAGTCCAAGGTTCACGTCTTCAAACACTGTGAACTTTAAAACTCTCTGGAATGCATGTGCAAGAGTTTTCTATGTGTGTAGCTATTTTAGCAAGTCTCTGATGACTCACAGTTCTTCAGTTTTTGGTGGTCACAGGTTTTTTTCAGGTTTTTGACATTTCCAGTATAAAAAAGAGGCATTTTTCAAGAAATGCTTCCTGCAGAACGAGGACAGAAACTCCAGATAAAACAGTCAAAGATGAAAAGTTGAAAAATTCAAACCTCATATATAACAAAAGTCTAAGACAAAATTGCTCCTGGGTTGTTTTCCTCCATTTCTCACCAGTTTTAGGCACAGGACCTGGAGCAATAAAGAGGAAGCAGCACGTTAGTTCCATGTTATCCCTCCCTGCAGGCTGGTGCAGTGACTGCATTGCCATCATCCTTCTTAAACACCCATGGGCTAAGCACTGCCACATCTATATGTGTGCAACACTGACAGTACCACTTCCTTTGAAACACTGCATGAGCAAATGGCACAGCAGTATAAGACAGCTATTTCATTACTACTTGTCTGGGATATTTCAGCTCCACTTTGAGTTTTATTTTTCAGGTCTACTCTTTATTGTCTGTTTATTCCAACAGAGACGCAGCATCCCAGCCTGTTCCAGACATTCCCTCCTGCCAAGGACTGTGGCTTCATTGTCCACACTGGAGATAATGAATTTACCATAGATCTTGTCCCTTTGAACAAGGAGCAAATGGCACAGTAACACTGAACACTTGAACACAGTCTCAGCTCTGTCACAGACTTTCTGATTTTCCATTACCTGGAATTTTGAGGTCTCATTTGCACTTCTGCAAACTTAATATAATTACTGTTGGTTCTATTTATTAGCAGTTAGTACCTTGTACAGTTTTAGGTAATAACTCGATACCTAAAACTGTAGGGACTCATGGCTGCTGCATTATCTCAGCAAGTTGAATCACTTTGGTTGCGTTGTGAATGTCCAACCAAAGTCACACCATTTCACTAAGGTGTCTTTGAACTGTAACAAACATACTGTATCCTTAGGAGAGAATAGGATGTGGCTGTATTCACAATTTCCTAAACCTTTACTCAAGCTTCATACTCATAAAGATGGTTTAGTTTCCAAATGCTAGAAAGCAGCTCCATTTGCAACTTTTCCTACTATTTTTCTGTTCTTGTCTACTAAGCTAAGAAAGATGGAGGGTGTGCAGCTGCAGTAATTTCTTTTACACCTACCCTTATGCAATTTATTCCTACCCTTCTGTGGTCTGGGCAGTGCAGCATTCCCCAGTAACAAACAGATGGCCTCAGCAACTATTCTGGTTATACTCACAGCCACAAAAGCAGTTCATAATACCTGGAATACAGCACGTCTAGTGCTTTATCTCCTCCCACCCACCCAAGTGCAGGGGCTGCTTGTCCTAGTGTGACAGTACTGGGACTATTCCCACCCTGACTAGTCTTGCCATCATTTAGCCTCTCTAAGCCATCAGAGCCTATATACAGGAACATTACATTATGCAGAATCCAGGCCAGCGCATGTAAAACAAGAAGAATGCAAAACTCCTAGGGTTGTCCCATGGCTGGTCTGAGTGGATGTTGCAGAGCTGTTTCACATGCCTGTGGTAGTCCTGGGACTTCACACAACATTCCTTGGGTTTGTAACACAATTTTTTGCCTTTTTTTTTTTAAAGCTGTCATTAATGGAAAAGCACTTGGCCAGGGAAGAAGGAAGAGCACTGGCGAACATGCTTGATTTCCTATCCAAAGAGCTGCTGAGGCTGCAAGAAGAACAGAAGATTCACGCTTTTGTCATGCTGGCTGAGAGGCAGAGGCGGATGCGGGAAGCCGAGGAGAGCGGACGTCGTCAGGTGGAAGAGAGGCGGCGTCAGAAAGAAGATGAGATTTTCAAAGAGGCAAGAGAGGGAGGCTGGTGGGACTGTGGGTGGGTTGTAGGAACTGCCACCCTGTGGGAAGGTCCAGATGGAAGAGAGGCGCTTCAGCTCTGACATTGGTGATGGCTAGTTTTTTAAATTGAGAGCGAAGACTTAGTGAAAAGAGGGTAATTCCTTCCTAAAAGAGTCATACTCATTAAGTTAAGGATTATCTGAATAACCCTACAGACAGTCCTGTGAGGCATATCATGAATGAACGTAGGTTTCTAAATTTCCACAAGCACCTATGGAGAACAGGTGTAGCTAGGTCATCTTTAAGAATAATGTTTTATCAGCATTTGGTCTGTCCAGCAGAACCATTAGGTGCTCTCCAAGGAAGGATGCCTTTAAGCAAGGTTTTGGAAAGATTTTCGGCCCCCAAAAGTGGACTGCAAATAACATGAAGTACAAAACTTCTTTTGAAGTAGTGATGATGGATAACATAACTTTGAAATCCAGAAACAGAAATAGTGAATTACTATGTTCCATAACTATTCTGTGGTCCTATTCCCTAGCTCCTGACTGTGTGAAGCTTATTTCTTCCAGTTGAAAGGAATGAGTGGGAGCCTAATTGACTAAACCAATAATTTTCAAACTTTGTGGGAGGAGGTTAATGCCAAGAGACTCTGGCATCATGTTTATTTTTCTTTTCATTTTAGCATTTCTGCATCTCTTGAGTGGGAAGCAAGGAGGGTCGAAATGCCATAAGCTTATGCCCTTCAGACTGGCAGAAGGAAAACACTCATTTCTAGAACCTCTGCTCTACAACCATTATAAGGAAACCAATAATTGCATCTTGGTTTGATTCACATTACTTTGACTGGCTCAATGGGACCTTTTCCTTCAGGATTTGCTTGAATGAAAGCTGATTAATTTACTGAAGTCAATACTGACGATTATTATTTGGCAGTTGTTGCTCAGGGGACCATGAGAACTGAGGAAACAACTGCCATTACATTCACAGACCTAACCGGCTGCAGCAGAACTGGGTCTGCAGATAAGTTTTTCTTCCACCGCTGTTTTTTTCCTGCACTTGTTTCTGTTCAATTAGTTCTCAGAAAGTATTATTAGAAATTTTTTACGCAAGTTTTTCTTTCCAGAAGGCACCTCTGAAACCAAATCTCAGGCTAGCCTGCTTGAAATTGAGAGTCTGGTGAAAATCTGTTGTTCTTGCTTCTTTGGAAGACTGCTTCCACCATGCTCCTGGCACAGCAATAGGCAGAGGAACAGTATCTTGGTGTTTTGTTCCAGGTGGTGAAAGTGCAGCAGCGCACTATTGACTCCTACTTGGAAGACATTATCCTGAGTAGCCTGGAGAACACTGCTGAAGAACAAGCCAGGGAAGAGGTTCAGAGAATGGCAGTAGAAATCAATGACATTGCTTACGAAATGGAAAGTCGGTACGTTATTAAATGGCACATTAGAGGCTGTTTACAGCAGTTTGGAACCTGCCTGACCATCTGCATCTGTGGTTACATGTATCATCTAAGACATGGGAAGGGCAGAGCAATTCTGTTTGTGATCGCTTCATTAGTGTGACTGCTTTATGGGAACCACACTGTTACTACCTGGTACACGCATATAAATCCATCAGAGCCTTATTTCTATAGAGCATGTGCCAGATTCCCTTTGCAAATCACTTGTGGGATCTGTGAATCACCCTTTTTAGACTTCTCCATGCCAATGAGATGCTGTGACTAAGCTTCAAATGAATCTGGGAACTGCCTAAAGCAATACCCATTCATACTGGTCTTTTCATTTATTTACACTACTACAGAAAATCTGCTTGAAAGAGATGCTAAAAGATACAGCTATACAGCAGCTTTTCATTCTGGGGTGGCTGTTCTTTAAGAAACTGCCAATTTCCGTGGGGGTCAGTCATATTGATGACTGCCTGACAAGGCACTTTGAGTAGAGTAAGTTGTTGAGAACACCACAGTCTTGTGTTTGGCTGGGGTATCAGCAGTGAATACATTTTAGGACCTGCCAAACCTCCAGTTCAGTTTCTATGCTTTTTCTTTTTTTTTTGGAATTAAGCCATAAAAATTCCAATGACACAGTGACTCTCCTATGGTACAGCAGCTGTGTATTTTGTAACTAGATGAATACAACCAGAATGTTGAAATCCTTGGGGAGAATAAAGCATAGATAATGCATGCAGCCCCTGGGCCAATTGGGAACCCACCAAACACTGGCACAGAAAAGAGCATGAGGACCAGCCAAATGCAGAGTCACAAAAGAGAAGAATTTAGCAAACTCAGCAATGGGCCAAAGACTACATTGACAAAGACACAAATCCTCAGAGGTATCTGCGTGTCTAACTCAGTTTGTCATCAGTGAGAATTTGGCTCCTTTGAGGAGCCAAAATACCTTTGAGGATAAGGAGTCTAGGGTGATCTTCTCCCTGGAAATACTGCTTTCCAATGCGGTATTGGACACATTGGCAGTGCAGTGCAAAGGGGAATCATAGAATCAATCATAGAATCATAGAATGTACTGGGTTGGAAGGGACCTTTAAAGATCATCTAGTCTCACCAGTAGGATAAGGAGAGACTCAGCCAACAGTTACTGCCATGAGAATACACTCCCTTGGAAATAGTGAGAGTATTTAAAGAGAGTCTTGTGTTTGCAGAGGTGATCTAGAAAGAAAATAAAAATACTAATGCCATTCTGCATCTGTTCTGTAGTCGGACTCGCCTACAGTCAGAAGAGATTGTAGCAGAGCTGGTTTACGATTTCCTGATTCCAGAAGCTGATAAAATGTCTGTCAGAGAAAAAGGTAAGGACTCCAGTAACTATTCTCTTTGTGAACTGGTTCGCCCTCCTTAGTGTAGCTCACTGAAAGGGAAGATGCCAGCAGTTGTCTCAGTGCTCTAAGATTCCTGTTTTGCACTCTGCAGGTAGAAAGTTAAGCCCTCTTAAGCCCTAATTTCTCGTGAGCTATAGTCTTTTAAAGTGGTGGCCAGAATTCAGACCTGATGTAAATTTGGTGTATCTGCAACAATAAAACTACATGAAAAGAAGCAGGCCATGGCACCTTCAAAAACAAACTGGGAAAGGTCTTTAAGTAACATGGCTGTGAATTGTCTATTATATGACAATATCTAAAAACTGTAGAAGTCTTTTAACAGGCAAATTACTTAAATATATGCCATATGCTGAAGGAAGATTATATAGTTTCCTATACTTCCCCCCCCCGCCCCAGTTGGTTGAGAGCTAGAAGCCAAGATAAGGTTTTAGGGTTGGCTGTATTGGCATCATGTTTTAAGTAGATAATCTTGCAGTTGTAAAGGATGCCTCCGTTTAGCCAAAATGGAATAGTATCTGTCAAAATACAGAGGGGAAGGCCCTCGAAACCTGTGTATTACATTGAGTATCATGAATAAATGGCTGTTCTTAACTGAGATGTTTCTACTGAACTGCACACTCAGAAGACAGTGACTAAACCAGTCACCCATAGAAAGTGGATATAACCTAAGAAAAGCAGTTGTATCACAATAGAGTCTGAAGTGGTCCTTGCTGCAGTGTACTTTGACTTGAGAACAAAGGCACTTTCTTCATTACTTTTTTTGTTGCTTTGTGAATGAAAACACAAACCCTACAAACACATTTTGTGGTCTCTGAATTGTGCAAACTTTTTTCTTCCTAGCTGGTGTATTTGTCACAACAGCAATAGCTATTCAGCAGCTGGCAATTCTGCAGAAGCTTAAATCAGCTCTCTTCTCCTTAGCCCTGTTTCTGCACGCTTACCAAAGCAGGTGATGTAATGTAGTCACTGAAGCCTGCAGCTCAAGCACTAACACACACAGGTTAGCCTGTCTCAGAAAGGAGAACAGAAAGAGAAGACCGGGGGATGGCCTGGGATTCTGGACATACAGAGGTGCTATCAAGGAAGAAAATATGTACTGAGATGCAATGCAAGAGCAGCTAATGAACAAAGCACCTCAGAAGCACCCCCAAGCAACAGAGGAAAAAAAATCTTCAAAATCTGTGATAGCTACAGTGGGTTTGCCTGGAGAGCAGAGCTAGACCCAGACAAAAATTAAAGTGGATGCTGGTGGGAGAGCTAGAGCAACAGGTGATAATGTACAAGAGCTCCTTCAAACATGGTCAGCTGAAATTTGACACAATATTCTTGTGACAGCAGATATCAAATGTCAGGAAGAGACCTGGCTCATACTCCCTTCTGCTATTGCAGCATGGGGTGGAGGGGACTTCATACACTTAAGAGATAGCTGAATTCTACCAAATGTGTGCTCTGATGAACACACCCTGCCATAAAACTCCTGCATAGTGATACCTTCAGAGAAGCTGAATCAGTAACTATTCCATGTGAATCTAAAGGAAATAAGATCAAAGAATGGCATTCGATCTCCTGAGCACATCGGCCTATTGTGTTTCTGTGGCAGCTTTTAAAACTTTCCCTGTAGTGAGCGAGATTATTCATTACAAAACTGTGTTTTAGCAACCTGGCACATGCTTGAGCATACACCTACCTTGGAACTCGCAGGAAGTGATCTGAGAGCATGGTTGTCTTGCCTGCCAGAGGAGCAAATCTGTTTGTAGAACAAAGATTTGAGGGTCTGCAACTTCAGTCTTTGCCTATGCTTTACCTTCCCCTTATCCAACACTAGCTCATCCTGAAACCCCTCTGCATCTTGCTTCTGAACCCTCCCTCGTTGGAAGTCAAGGGAGGTTTAGATCGGATATTAGGAAAAAAAAATTCACCAAAAGGGTTGTCAAGCACTGGAACGGGCTGCCCAGGGACGTGGCTGAGTCACCAGCCCTGGAGGCATTTAAAAGATGTGTAGATGTGGCACTTAGGGATGCGGTTTAGTGGTGGAGTTGGCAGCGCTAGGTTAAAACGGTTGGACTTGATTTGAAGAGTCTTTTCCAACCTAAGTGATTCTACAATTGTAAGCCAATGTACTGATATGAAAAAACTTGCTTTTAAAAGGACAATCACTCACCACTTTGAGCCCACTTCCTTTTAGATGGAATTCATGGTGGATGGAGGAAAGGATTGCAGCAACACCAGGAGAGCATTCCCAGTGTAGTTGATGCAGTTCACACATGCACGATTGAAGCCAAAATGCCTTGGGTAGAGAAAGCTCTCCTGGGAATCGAGCATTGGCTGGTGATGGTCAGCTTTTCAAATGCAAGTGAGATCCAGTTGCATTCATTGTCGGCAAAATGGACCTGGGAGTCCATTTTGGGAGTCCATTAAGCATAAACAGGATGGGCTGGTAAGGTCATTGGCAGTACGCAGAACTGGATGGCAGCATGCAAGATACCAGTGGTTCAGATTCCCAGTTCCAGTACAGCTCAGCCTTACAACACAAGCTCACCAAAGCAAGAAAGAAGTTTTGGACTTTTGCAGGGAAGTGACGTGATGAGAGCTGCAGCTCGTTCCTGCAACATTCCCCTCCTTACAAGCACGCAGTGTTTCAATCCCCATGGTTGTTTACAGCATCGTAAGTCTGCAGAGAGAAAGAGGGAACAAAGAATGGTAAAGAGCAACAAAGAGAATTGTGGGGTGAATTATTTGGCTTGGGTCATTATTTCCCAAGAGGTGGGCTGGGAATATAGACAAACAAAACTGGATAAAAACTGTAAAACACAGTAAGGAACACTCCTGCAGTAGCAAAAAGGAGATTATATGGTGGGTGACTTAATGTGCCTATACCGTCTCCAAGTTTTACTTTGAACTCAGTAAGGGTTTCTCAGTGCAGGCAAAATAATAACACAGGAGAGGGCAGATTTCAGCTCGTCTTCCAGAGACCTGCTGCAATTAGCAGCCACTGGAGGAGAAGTTATTTTAAAGCCTGGTAACATATCCTGGGCAGGTAAGCCCTAAGCTGAAGAAGAAAACACTGTGACTGCGTTTCCCACTGTGGGTAGTCTTCAAAGTGAAATGCAAAGTTGGTAGCTGCTATTAGGTGGCAGTAGAACACTTTCAGCCAAAGTTAGAAGGGTGTGATTTTTTTTTTCCCTGAGACAGGCTTTTCTACAGCTGCAGGAAGGCTAAAAGCTATCCCTCCCTTCTCCCCTACACAGAACACTTTGCTGTACATTTCCAAATAAAAACCTTACCTCTTTTTATGCACAGTGAGGCAGTCCCAAGGAAAACACATCTATGCTGCTCATCAAATCATCCACGGGGCCATAGAGGAGGTGGTGACTGATCATCAGGCACTGCATCGGGAGACATCGGCCAGCAAGACAAAGGGAGATCCTGCTGCTGGAACAGCTGCTGGACCAAGCGCAGCTGACAGCACTCGCTCTGCCCCAGTTACACGCGAAGCAGCTGAACCTGTGTGTGGTGAAAGCCCAGGAGAGACAGCAGTGAACCCTTCTGATGGGTCAGACAAGGATCCCACAGGCTCCTAGAGATGGAAGATGATCCAAGTGAGATTCCCTTCCCCTCTGTGATTTGAGCTCAGAGCATGGTGAAGGAGGGGGAAACACATTACATTTACTTTTTTCATGGCACCCTTAAATGGAAAATGGAGTTGAGACCATACACAGTCTTTTCTCAAGCATCTCCCACTGATTTCCTTAGTGGAGTAAAGCAAAGAGTGGCATCCTGCACTAGCACTGCTATTAATAAAAGGTTGAAATTTAATGAAAACAGTCAGATCTTGCATCATCTTTTCAGCTAATTAGTCCTTGCATAAAGAAAAGGCGCCCTTGACCTCAGCAGAGTGGTTCCTGCCAAGCAGGCAGTGTCTGGCACTAATAGCTGAGGCTAGGTTATAGCAGAATGACACGGTGGGGGCTAAAGTAGCTTATGCAAAGAACACATTAGGCAGTGCTTGCGGCTTTTCCAGAAATGTTACTCTTTGGGCCGACCTCTTCTTGCTTTTTATCATCCCAGAGGAGAACAATTCTGGAAAAAATCTGGTTTTTCTTAGAACAGTGTTAGTCACCCTGGCTTCCCAGCACCAGGGGACCATGCAAAAGGATGCTGGCTTTGCCTTGTTTGCAGGCACGGGGGTGCTCCAGCTCAGGATGTCAGCAATCAGCAGGCTGCAGACAGGCGCAGTGCCTCTGATCAGAGAGCTGTCAGGGGCTTGCGCAGCTCTCCAGCACCCACCTGTCAAAATTCCCGAGGTCTGTGTGTTTAGCATCTGAAAGGTACATTTACACCGATACCAACATCAAACGCATCAGCTCTTGGAGGAGCAGGCACAGCTGCACCACCACACCCAAAATGCTTACTCACTGATGCTCTGGCTCTGACTTACGCAACAAATGGCAGCATTTGCTCTCAGGGCCAGCCTGGTAATGGGCTCATCTCTGTGCACTTCCACCATTTCTCTGCCTGTTCTTCATGCTGGGTCTGTAAAGCCTCAGGTATGGTCCAACCAACTGATGCTGAACGTAGCACTGCTCCTTCAAAACACAAACCAGCAGCTGGTCAAAAAATTAGGCTCATTAGTGCATTCCCAGGAAAATTTTGCGTCAGCTTTCTGATTTGTGGATTGGGCTGGGGCAGGAGGAAGGACACATACACAGAGAAAAGGAAGAGAAAGGAGGAAAAAAAGGTCTGAATACCCCCATATTCCACTGAGCTGCAAATTAAGAACTGGAGAGAGGAAAACGGAAGCTACACCAAGAAATTACTGCTGGTCTCCAGGTCACAGACCCAGGGGCACCAGGTGACCGGTGGGGTGCAGGTAAATACTGCAAGATCTGGCCGAAGTCAGAGATGGGTCATGAGTTTTGGTTACGACTCTGTGAGGATGATCCCAGTAGGGTTTGGGGATTTGGGAATATTGTCATAGCACACATAGCTAGTCAGGGAAGGAGATGGTAGCAAATGCAAAAACAGAGGAAGAAACAGTCTCCACAGTGTGGGAGGAGAAGCTGTGCAGGGATCGGCTCTTTTGCCTCAGGCCACCTTGGACAAATTTAGCCTGGTTGAAAGAGGGAGGATAACATGAATCACAAGATCCAGTGTAATAAGAGAGACATGGAAAACTTGATGCAGCAGAAGAGTAGAACAGGAAGGCTGATCCTGTGAGGCATTTACTGTACGGCATGTCAAAATAAACATTCTCTGTGCGGCTCATTGTACAACTTGGCGTGGTTTTAGAAAGACCAGAAGGATTCCAACAGGTGTGGGAATGGACGTAGGTTGCAGCGCCCTGGTCTTCTGCATGACAACAAGGGGGCAGGGGACTCCAGATGCTATGCACAGGCTGAGCTATAAATGTCTTGGCTTCTGTGACGATTTAAGGGACGCTGTCAGGGTAAAGCCATCTTTTCCACATGACATTGCCTAGCACGTAAACTGAAGGATTCCTGCAGGAAACTCCACTCTAGAAACTGCGTTCAGTTGCCACGTGTGGGGGTCTTTTCAAGCTCTGCAGCATGTGCTTTGAGAAAGAAAATGAGCACAGTGAGGAGGGAATTTGGACCGTAAATCAAGAGCACAAGAATGCACCATTCCCTCTCCTAGCAGGAGCCAGGACTACCCTGGGGAGGAGCCCATACCCGAAACAAACACAGCAGATGCCTCCGGGGCTGCACCAATTCAGCGGAAACCCTGGGGAAATTCTCTTGTCCCGCTTTTCTCTGGGCAGGTGCCCCGCTGGGAGGGAGCTTCTGCATCCTGACAGGTGCCGGAGCCGGGCTGAGCCAAACGAGCCTCTGGGGTCACTGTGCTCTGAGAACGGTGAAAAATCGGTCTCTTTGCAGCAAATGAATGAATGCAAATTGTCTCTGGTCCTCCCTGCCAATACGCAGTGTGGAAGGAGGAAATACTGTTGTGATAAAAAGGGCTTTCAGCAGGCCAGCTGGAAGTCACCACACCTTTTTTGCTGGGCACTTCCTATATCTACATTATTGTCAACATAAAACCACAACAAATCCATGCTCTCCCATCTCTCCTGTCTCCCTAAAAAGCAACATGACCAACCCCAGAGTTGCTGCTGTAGACCTGTCTGCAGCGCTGTTAAAAGCGTTCCTGCCCCTTTGAGCGCTGCTGTTTTCTCTTCTCCTGGTCTCACGAGCACACAGGACCTGCCTGCTACTCTCTTGGGCTCAATTCAGCCCCCGCACAACTCAGGGGGAACATTAACCTTGCAAGTATGGTCCTCACATGCCAAAGGCTTTTAAGATCCAGTTGCACTGATACTAACTTCACCTCTGCCCAGTCCTGTCTCTCTGCTTCCACCAAAAGCCCCTTCATGCAGTTTTTTCTATGTTTTTTCTGACTAGTGAGTCAGTATCTTCTTGGCACCCAGCAGCCTCCTCACCTCAGTGCCCTCCAGAGTCAGGCCTGGGCTTGGAAGAGGAGCCTGCTGTTTCGTACTCATGCCCTCCACCCCACCAGAGCAGCAGGGATGGTTCAGAACATCTGCCGAGGCTGCGAGCTGCCTGGGACATAACGTGTACACCTGGACTGGTAAATTCAACTTGCTTGGCTCTGCTCTGGAGCAAGGCCCCCACCTCTCCCCACGGCCGCTGCTGGAAGCAGAACTGGCAAGGGAACATCTCGACAGGGCGCGCACTGAAACCCGGGGAGGAGAGGCAGCTCTGGCGCGCTGCTCCGATCCTATCGGTCCCTCTTATCCTCCCTTTTCTCCCACGCGCTGCGCCAGCCCCACGCACCTCTTCCTCCACCTCCGATGGCTGGAGTCCAGGCCACTTCTCTTGGCCTGTTTCCATGTGCCAAAGCCCGATCCTTCATCTTGCACTCAGAAGGGATGTGCTGTTCCCATTTCCTTCCTAGGATGGTCACCTGTATCCACTTGTTAGGGCCAGAACTCTCCCTTGCCAGCGTGGCTCAGCACATAGTCCCCAACAGGCCTGAGAGCTGCAAGCTCTCGCCATCGGGGCTGGCCACTTGCCCACGGCTGGTTGGACCCACTGCACAGCCCAGTCCCCTGAGACTTATCACATTTAGTCACCCAACGGGGAGCTGCCACAGTAACCTGCACTCCTTGCCCGTCGTGGAGCTCCTCGGTCAGCGCGGGGACGTTCGTCCTCTCCCTTGGGCGGCGGCTGGAAGCGCTACCTGCAGCACAAGTGGCAGTGAGCTGACTGCAGCTGCGCAGCCGATGCTGTTGCTCTTGGTGACAACGTCAGCGCTGAGTGTGAACACCACCAGTGCTCTGAATGCAGATGCAGCAAGGAGCCTGAGATGTTTAACCAGCACTCTCGCATAGCCCCTCGGCTGAGAGAGGACTCAACCTTCTCCTAAATGCCCTTCTTGTACAGCATCTTCTCACTCACTGTTTTTCATCGCTGGCATTTGGAAAGCTGCAGCTCCTGCCAGCGTTATGGAGGCTGGAAAGCTGCATTCGCTCCCCTCCTGAAGCTGCCGCAGGATTGACGCTAAGAACGAATCTCCCTTTTATTTATGAGCCAGTGACAGCCAGCCCTTCCCTCCAAAGCCTCTTGCAAACACCATGTTGGTTCCTTACCTACTGAAGCCTTTCTCCACATGCCCACATAATTTTTACACCTCCAGCCAAATGCAAACCATTTTTCATCCATCCTGTTCCTAGGCCTGGTGCCATGAGACAAAAATCTTGAAAAGAGGAGTGAGGCCACGTTTTCTCCCTCTGCAGCAAGTGAGGGGCTCTGCAGGATGCCCTGGACTGGGGCAGTCTGCCCTGCACTCCTGCTCTGTCACAAATGCTGTGCTGCAGCCTCTCGCAAACATCCACAAGGGAAGAGGTTGGTTGTTCTCCACCTACCTTGTCCTGGAGGACCCAGCCTTGCCTCTGGGGAGCGCGAGTGGAGACAGGTGACGTAGAGCGGGGCGTCCCAGAAAGAAGAGGCTTTAACTCCACTGACTGCATGGTTACTGCTGTAACCACCCCTAATGCCAGGGTCTGGACTGGTTGAGCAGAGCAGCTCTGGTCTCAGCACACGAGACGGATGCAGCCCAAATCCCGGTGACGTTGTGGGACCAATGTAAGTGAAGGGACAGCGGCTGGTCACCTGGGTAGCTTCTGGGGCAGCCAGGCTGTAGGCAGCGGCCCAGCCCTGTGCCCTGCGTATCCAGTGCCTGCCAGGGCAGCAGAACTTGAAGAAAACAAGACCCATGCCCCCATCAGAGAGCCAGGGAGGGCTGGCACCTGATTTAAGGGGCAGTGTCAGCACCCCAGAAGGGTGAGAACAGCCCCCAAACGGGTTAGTCTGGGGGAGCCAGCACATAGCAGTAAGTAGAAAGGGGTTGGAGGGAGCCCAACACGGCACTTACGGTTTGGACCCATCAAGGGCATCAGCTGTCCTGGCGCTGGCTGCCTGGTGCAGGGAGCAGGGGACGCCTCGCTCCATGGGAAGCACCAGGCTTCACCCGCTCAGTCCTTGAACGCGTCGACCAGTGTGGTACCGGCAGCCTCTTCTGCAGTCCCAGCTGAATTCGCATACAG